TGTATCAGTTTTTATCGGACCTGATTCTTTCTTTTTGGTTTGCTTTAAACAAAATAGAATCCGTAATTTAACAAATTTGTTTTCATCAATGTAGGGATGAGAAGCAAGAAATGGAATCAATATTCTAACAGGTTTGTTTTCTTCTTAAGGTGGTTTAGAAAAATAAAAAATGGAGAGTAAACGGAAAGAGAAGGAAGTACAATATTTTCGATTTTTTTAATTTGTAACTGGATGTTTCTCTCTAGAAAAGGACATAAATTTATGCCCAAATCGTTCCATAACAATTTTGTTATGAATGTTGATACCTACAATGCGTTCTAATTATCATTTTGTTAACGTGAACTGAATGCATCACAATGTAAAGGTGTGTTACATCATTCGAGCTTCAAGTTACTATCAAGGAGAAATGGTGTTAGGATAGAGAGAAGATGTTTTCTCTCTCATTTGTGAAGGATTGTAGCCTCATTCACAGAAGCTCACACCACAACCATGCGAGTGGTGTTCCCCCTCCAAACTCACACATAAGTAGTTTCCAAGTAAGCATACGTCGTAGGAAATTTCACCCATTCCTTTTAGCCTAAGAAACAAAACAATAAATATCGATAGATAATAGATTGCTTTGATTACATAAAAGACAATTACATATGAATATATAAAGAATACTTAAACCCTAAAGAATTTGGAACTAAACTGTAATGACTTGCATCCCCTCATAATTTGATTGGAATGAAACGATTAAGGTGGAAAAAACAAATGAAGACGATGGCAATGACGATGGTAGAGCTCTAGTGATGGCATCTAACATCGATTGCTTGTCGTAGAAGAAGAGAGAATAAGTTGTTAGCCTATATATTATTAACTCATATGTTTATGGGCTTTTAATCTTTAGCCCATTAGGGTTTTGTTTTGTTAGTATTTTTTCTCCACTTTATTCTTTGTAGCCTTTATGTTGTGATTTCTCTATATCATAATCATATGGCAATGTTATCATGATATCAGAGCGGATGTTTGATAAGTTATTAGAAGACTTTGTAGCAGTCATATGTGGCGCAAATTGAAATTTTTTATGGTTACTATAGTTGTTACGTTTTCAATATGTTTGATGCTTCGTCGTTGCTAATAAAAATTCAAGATAAATATTCAAAATTTAAATTCTTGTTTGAATAATATTCAAAATTTAATTAATTTAATATTCAAATTATGATTCCTTATTTAACATTATTCAAAATTAATCTCTTATTTGGATATTCAGATTTAAATAATTTTAAATAATATTTTAATCAAGAGGTTTATCCTTAAAAAAATACCAATAATTCAAAAAACTGAGAAAATACGACTACGTGTAGCATAGAGAACAAATGCATCACATAATGATCTACTTCTAGAATTTCAACTTCGATTTTTACAATAGTGCAAATAACTAAATCTAAAGGATCTGGTATCGTTGTTAGGGATTTATTGCATCAAGTACACTATCTAAAGGTAACTGAATAATCAACAAATTTACCTAAGTGCACACGCATTATAAAATCTAGGTTTTACCAAAGTTCTAAATAACGTAAGGCGTGACTTGGTGACAATGTCAAGCCTCAAGTTTTTCCGAGCCTTGGCGAGTCACGGTGTTTGTAAGGCATGATTAAAGGCATCAATTTTCTATATAATTAATATTTTTATATGTATTTTTAACTATTGTTCATTTTTATATATATATATATGAGTTAAGGCATCGTTTTGGCAAAGCTTGGCGGCAGGTACAAGCCTTAAAGTCGTGATGCGCCATGGCGAGCTTTTTAGAACCTTGAGTTTTACTAGTTATAGCAATATACTTTTGAATTGAATAAGGAAAAGGATAAAACGCTTACTTCATGATCCTTAGATCATGTAATAGACATCTCTTGCAATGGATGAAGAGCCCAACATAAAACTCCTTTAATGTAGTCAGGCCCACAACACTAAAAGGAAAAAGGATGAAACCCTAAGCTAAGGTTTATATGAAATTCAACTAACCCTATGAGAGGGGTTAGAATTTCAATTATGGAGAGAGGATAGGAGAGGTGGAAAATTTTATAAGAAAAAATCAGCTTCTAAGGTTGACCCTTAACAGTCTATTTATAGGTAGTTATTTGAATTCTAAAAGGATTAAAACTCTTAAGTTTAATCATTATCTTATTCAGAAATGCCTTATCCCTATCCACGGGATATTAAAATTGTCCCATATAACTCTTCCAGAGCTTCTGGAATATTGATATTAATCTCTTGGATTAATTAATATCCAAGCTCTTTAATTAATTAAAACATTTTAATTAATTACCAAATTAATTTAGTAATTACTTAATAAAGTAATAACTTATTTTCTCCATTTCCTTTTAGCTATCTGTGTTATGAGACCAACCCAAAATGATCTCATTATTATTTAGAAATATTATCAACTAGTTAATGACCTTAGACACCATTTCCAACATTTAATATAATAAAATAGAAAAGTATTTTTTATATGTCAACATAACATATTCAAATAGTAAAACAACATAATTACACATTGAAAAAGTAGTAGTAGATTAACATAATGATGTTTACTTAAGAATCTTTACTTGGAGCTCAGTTATCCATGACCTAGAAAAGTGGGAATCTTTGTTACTTGAATAATTCCATAGTGATGAAGACTTGTCGGAAAAGCACTAAAGGGAGGGGGTGATGTATGGAAACGATAATGGAGGATTGAGAAGGGATCGACATTTGAGGCTACAAATGTCAACAATGAAGGGATGACTCATGGAAGTTTTTTTTTTTTGTTTTTTTTTTTGTGTGTTGTGTTGTTTGATCGCAGATGGCACACGTGAATGTGTGTACATTTTTTTTCAATTGGAGTACTAGAAAGTGCTTCTTCAATCGTCGGTTTCGATTTTTAGAACCGATTAAACCCAAAAAGGCAGAACTAGAGCAAAATACCCGATAAATGAATAAGCCTAATGTACAAAATTGGGAACCGAACTAATAGGTTTTCAGTCCTAATTTAGATCCAGTTTCACTTCAACTATTCGATCTAAACGCTCATTCCTATGTAATAGTGTCTTATTCACAAATCTTTAATCTCTGCTCTCATGAACCTTGCATATTTGCCTCTTGGATTTTCATGATAAAAGTGCCCAAAGCACCAAATATTCTTATTTTCAGTCCATGATTCACATAATAAAGTGTTTGAATTTACATTTAACTTCTACCTAATTTCCCAAACAATAATAACATCTCATTACGTAATAAATTTCGTGATGTTAAATGTTATATTGCATGTGTCATGCTTTTATGAATATAATTAATGACGACATATGATGGCGAGAAAAGAATGAGAGTGTTTGTACCTAAAACATGGTCTTGACCCATATGTCATAATCCATTCACTATTCTTGGTAATTGATTCGTTCATATCAAGTTGTACATGTCATTGTCTAATCTTCCTATATATGATTGTCTCATTCATATCTAGATTGTTCGATTTAGCCTAATCGGGGGTTGCACCCTTAGTTTTCAAGATTTTATTATGTTATGGTTGGATCAAATTTGAAACATCCCCATAATTCCTTTTTTATACATATAACGTTATTATAAATCGATGGTTATTTACACTAGAAAATAAATAATTATACATCTCATTCAAGTCGGTAGGGTTATTTTATCATGTTCTAACCAAACTATAATGAAGGTAAACCAAATCTGACAACTATATCCACTCGATCCAAAACCAAACAAAAGCCAAAGTTTTCTATATACATTGAAAATAAAATATAAAAAACTAATAGCCTATAAGTTCAAAGCACACTTAAATGGAAAATATTAAGAAATTCATATTTAAACACTGAGATAAAAATTAAGAAAGGGGAAATTCATCAAATGACCACAAAAGGAGGTGTGGTTGAAGAAAATGACCAAGAAAATGCAACTTTCATAAAATGACGATGATTTCCGCATAGAGGGTCTTTGCGGAAATGGTAAAACCTCGATAAATTAACAACTTTCATAAAATGACCACGTTCAGTTTTGAGGAATCGGAAAAGCTTTGAGGAAGTGATGTCGCAGGGTATATTTGTAAAAACAAAATTAACAAAATTGAAAAGGGTGCTGCGGATTCGAAGAGGGTGGGTTGCAAATAAATTGTCTTAGAAACATACTATTATAGTTTAATGTGTTATATTGAATAAATGTTATGTGCGAAATGGTAAAACCTCGATAAATTAACAAGAAAACACTTACCAAAATCATTTTTAGGCCATGGTTATGCAAAGAACAATTTCTCAGATGCATGTGTTTAAAGAACAGATCCATAGAAGATGGTTACTTTGCGGATTCTCATTGCCCTCTATGGAAATGTCAGACGTTATTTAGTGCATTCAGCTACCATTTTCGTAGATCATTCACCATTTATGCAGTGCATTCATCATTTTCGCAAAGACGTGCTCTGTGGAACCATACCATCTTACGTGTTTTTTTGTCTTTTTTCCCATGTGTCCAATTCCTCAGAGCTGAACGAGTTCCGCAGAGACCTTCTTTGTGAAAATCATGATCATTTTATAAAAGTTGCATTTTCTTAATCATTTCCTTCAACCACACCTCCTTTTGTGGTCATTTGATGAATTTTCCCATTAAGAAATCTATACACACTTTAGTGCTTCAATAATTTCAAACTTTTTGTAATAAAGTAAAAAACCCAAAATATAGGGACCCAACATGTGATTTCGTCAAAAGTACAATTTTAAAAGCTTTCACCATGTACTCATATACCACCCCCTTCCCCCTCCACAAAGAAACCAAAAAATTATTTCCATCATCTCATCTCCTCCCTCACAAGTCACAAGCACCCAAAACCCTAACCCTAATTAACTCAAATTTTGTTTTGTACGTATGAGCAGACGTTTCTGAAAGGCCGCTTATCGGATCGAATCGATTTCTAGTTTTCCGGACCAGCAGAACGGTGTTTGTTTGAATTCAATTGATTTTGACAAACAATGTCTGCGATTGTGTGTGGGAAGAGATCTTTCTTTGAAGAACTACCAACGTCGCCGAATTCTGCATCTCCTCCCGCTTCCAAGAAACTTCGCTGTTATACCTCGACTTCTCCGGTTCGCTTTTCACCGTTCACTAACTCGCCGCCGTCACCATCACTCGTAGATAAGCTCCGATCGTTTTTCCCTAGTATGGATAAGAAGGTATGCTTGTTTCATCTCTCTAAATCACATGTGTATCTGCGTAGTTGTGCGTTTCTAATTTCTCAGGTCTGAATATAATTGTTTGCTTATATGTATGGCTTGATGCAATTCAAATGATTTGCTATAAGCTAATAGAAAGATCGATTGAAATGTTAAAGTTAATATGGATCAAGCAAATTTATCGTAGAATCAAAATCAAATGATGGTAGTATGTGGATGCGTGTGGTCTGGTGATTAATTAGATTTAAGATATAAGTATACACACTATCTAATGCATCTGCAATGTCAATCATTTGGTGCATGTGCCATGTGTATCATCTGTTGCTATAACTTTACAGTTCTGATTCTGCAACTGATGCCTATATAAGAATTTGCTATTTACCTACAATTGACAAACATTTCTCTTTTGTTAACTGTTCTAATACACATACATATTGGACACACAAATTGTGTCTATATACAAATGTAAAGGGATTCAATCACTGAACTGTAAGTTGTAAGTCCATTTATATTTATACACATGGTTACTGATAATTAGGTTTGGGCTTAAAACAATACAATAGTTTGATGTAGATTTTTCAATCTAAAACATAGATTTGTTATAAAATAGATTTTCCCATTTACAAAATGCTCTCTCTCTCTCTCTCTCTCTCTCTATATATATATATATATATATATATATATATATATATATATATATATATATATATATATATATATATATATATATATAATCTAGTTGTAGATCTATAGTATCATTTGTTCATGGTGGTATTTGAGATGCATAGATGATGGTTATAATGTTTAATCAAATCCACTTTGCTTAAATTGATGGTAGAACATCAACATACACGAACACCAAAATAAGGTTTTTTGCGATTGCATCACTAAATACACTTTGTAATATCTGTGAATTGTCATGTCTAGTGTTGTTCAAACTTCAAATCACATTAATTTTATTCTATGTTATGGTGTATAAATCTCATTTGAAAAGAATCAACTTTATTTTCAGCTGCTGGAGAAAGCACTAGAAAGAAGTGGAAATGATTTAGATTCTGCCATCAAGAGTCTCAATGAACTCTGTCTTGGATATGTGGATGGGATCTCAGGTTTACCCATTCAATCAAATGCAATAACTGAAAAAGGTAATTCTTTTCATTTCCATTGCCAAATAACTAGAGTTTTGGATGCTCAAACTTTCATGAGCTTTCTTTTTTGTTTTATTTAATAAACAAGATTCATTTGTTAATTAAAAGTTAAAACCACAGGTTCTTCTACTGAAAGTGAAGGTGTTGCTTCTTTGGAGAACAATTCATCACCTAACAATAACAACATCCCTAAAAGTGGTGCAGAATGGGTTGAGTTGTTTGTGACAGAAATGACAAGTGCTATAAGCATTGATGATGCTAGGCTTCGTGCTATGAGAGTACTTGAGACTCTGGAGAAATCCATAAGCGAACGTGTTGCTGGTGAAGCAGCAGATACCCTTCACAAGGCAAGCCTTTTTCTCCCTTCCCAAAGAAAATGAGAGGGTAATTCTGTAATTTTGGTTTGCAAGTGTCTTATTTGGGTGTGTTTATGTTTCAGGAGAATTTGGTGTTCAAGGAGCAGATTGAAGTTCTTTTGAGGGATAATGCAATACTGAAACGTGCTGTAGCCATTCAGCATGAACGCCAGAAAGAGTATGATGAGAGGAGCCAAGAAGTGCAGCAGTTGAAGCAGTTGTTGACCCAATATCAACAGCAAATCAGGACACTTGAGGTTACAATTTTGCACTTTTCTATTGCTTGAATATCTTTAATTATTTTTTTAGAAAATAAGAAAATAATAGTTTAATTGATGGATGTTGTTGTAGGTGAATAACTATGCTTTGACAATGCATTTGAGGCAAGCTCAGGGAAGCAATTCGATTCCTGGACGATTTCATCCTGATATCTTTTAATAAATAAAGAGTTTAAGTTGTTTTAAGAGATTATAAATATTGTTTGTTTGTCTGTCTGTCTGTCTAAAAGATGAACATTTACCTGATAATATCAGGCAAATGTCTACAAAAAAATATGAATCATGTTTGGTGGTTGGTTAATTTAAATTAAAGGGTAAGACCACAGTTTAATATTCAGAATGTCACTTTGTTTCTTTTTCATTTTGCTTTGTGTTTTAATTTAAAGTAACAAAAGCTTTCTTTCGTAAATTATTTTGGATTAGATTAAATACAGGACAGACCCTTGATTTGAATCCCAAAATGAGCTGAGTTCATATTTTAATGGGTTTTTTTTTTTTTTTTTTTTTTTTTTTTTTTTAATATTGGAAAGCCTTCTGTATGTTTAAATTTTGTTGACAAGTATAATAGTAGTTGTGTGTGTGTGTGTGTTTTTTGTTACATAATAATGTTGCTGGTTTATTGAAAAATTAGAAAACCAAGGTTTTTTCTATAAGAAAATGTTGAAAATGTCTAGAAGATCTTGCTTGCTTGAATCCTCAAGGTACGATACATAAAAAAAAAAAAAGGTTTATTATCTTCAAGCAATAAATTCTAATGTTAGAGCGTGATTAAATGAAGTGTATAAACAGTCTAGATGACATTACCAACACATTATCTTGCTTCATGTTGCATAATAATTTGTAGGGTTTAATTTACTATTGATTTGTAGAAGATTCATTCTCATTCTCACTTTTTTTTAATAGTCAAATTACATAAATGGTCTTTATGGTTTCCTAAGATAACTCTTTTTGTTGATGAAAATGGTCTTTATGGTTTTAATTTTTTGAGTAGTTGGTCCTGACTAGAACGAAAACCAATTGATCAAAAACGAAATCGAAAACCAATAAAACCACAACCGAACTCAAATCATTGGTTTTGGGTTTGGATTTTAAAATATTGATTTGGGTTTGGGTTCGGGTTCGGTTTTCACACTATCCACCAACCAGCTAAAATTGAACCGCCCTAATGGTTTAAAAACTGAGCATGAATTGACCCACACCGATGAAATACATATTATCAGATATTTAATATTTTTTTATTAAATGTTATATATTTTATTAAATATGTAAATATAAAAATAAATATAAAGCACTACCCCTTCACCTTCTAACTTAGTTAGAACAGTGTTCCTCTGGCTCTCACCTTCCTAACCTCTCCAATCCTCTCTTTAACACTTGAATTTGAAATATGGTTTGAGTGATTTATGTATGCAACTTACTGTGAAGCTGAAATATGATATGTATTGTACTAAACTTTGTTTAACTTGTGAAGATGAAATTTGTTATTTTTGCTTAATCTGATTCTGTCGAGGTTATTTATATTTGTAATTATCAATTGGAATCATCTCCATGCTACATGCTTATATTTGATTCCACAGATTTGTATTGTACTGAAATCTGCTATAGGCTTCTATGTTCTCTTAATCTAAAATTTGTTTAATATTCGTGTGTCCTGAATTGGAATCATCTCCTTGCTACCTGCTACTACCTTCTTACCATATGTTAAGTGCAAAAGATTATGTTTCAAAATGTATGTCAATATCCCTCAGATAATTTAAGTTTGTTAATCTAAGGTTGTTTAATATGAGTTTGTTGAAACTAGTTTTCTCTATGTAGAGGGACGAAGAAGATGAATGTGAAGTAAGTAGACTAATTTAGATTCATTTGTTGTTGATGTTGATGAAGAACTTGAAAAAAAAGGTGGTGGTCTCAAGGGATCATGGGTATGAAACCATTTTGAAAAAGTGACTTGCATGGACCAACTAAAATGACCATATTGTCCACAGATGATGTGTGCAAAATCGAAAAAGAATGGTACGAGTGCAATGGCAAATCACTTAAAATAATTTGTAAAAAATTGTTTAGTTATAAAGCTACAAAGCAAGATTCGAAAACACAATATCTATTGAGTTTTAAAAAGTCAGGAGAATAGGGGGTTAGTTTTTTAGAAGTTCATGACTTCATTCCTTTAGACATGAAAAGTATAGAAAATCTATAGTTTGTATGTGTAAAAAAGACAAAAACCAAACTTAGTGGTTTGGATTGGGTTTTACCTCACAACCAATCCAAACCGATCCATGTTCATTTATAGTCACGAGTCCCAACCCATATAAAACAGAATCTTATAACCTTTTATTTTTAATTTTTTTTTAACTAGGTTTAAGTTTTAACAAAAAGAAAATAATATGTTTTAACTATTAACCATTAAATATGTATTCTTACAAACTTTCAGTATCGTCAGTTGCTCCCATCCCCAAATCCTTCCCCTTCGTACCCCCTCCATCTTGCAGACTTTGTTTGTCGTCACTGGTAGACGCATCAACACCACCATGGCCATCTCCTTCTTTTGTTGCCCCTTCCTTCTTCCCCTTCTTGGTCTTTGAACATTTTCAGAAACTAATCAAATTTGCGCTTCATCTCCATCAAACCGTTATAAATCTCACATCCAAAACACGTATCACAAAATCCTTTGGATTTTTCGAAGACACTCATCGACATGATGAAGCTCAAGATTCTGGTTTCTGAATTTAAGTTCTTATGCTTAGATGATTTATGTATGACGAAATCAAGAATAAGAATAGAGAAAATTCATCAAATAACCAAAAGGAGGGGAGTGTTTGAAGCAAATGCTAAGAACAACACAATTTTATAAAATGACCACAACTTCCACAGAGAGGGGTTTTGCTGAAGTCCTTATGTTTGAGGAACAAGAAAACTCTCTGAGGAAATGATCGACGTAGCGGGGGGGGGGGGGGGGGGGAAGTATAGATATATATAATTTTAATTCTGCAGAGGGTGTATTGTTCCACAGAGAAGTTATTTGCGGATCTGTTCTTCAGATGAGTATCTTTGATGAATTGAGGGTGCATTGTTCCATAGAGATGTCATTTGCGGATCTGTTCTTCAGATGAGTATCTTTGATGAATTGTTCTTCGCTAAAACTTGACCTAATAACGATTTTGGTATTTGTTTTCTTTTAAATCTAACGATGTATCAACATTTAGCACATATCATTAATTCAAAATAACAATTCAAACTATAAAACTATGTTTCTAAAAATAGACTTAGAATTTAGCGAAGAAATAAGTCATGTTTTAGCAAAGAACAATTCCTCAGAGGTACTCCTCTGAAAAACAAATCTGCAGAGGGCATCTCTGTGGAACAATGCACCATCTGTAGAATTAGATTTTTTTTTTTTTTCTTCGCCGTGTTATTTTCTCAGAGTTTTCTTGTTACTCAGAACATAAGGACTTTGTAGATCCCCTCTTTACGGAACTCATAGTCATTTTATAAATTGTATTTTTCTTTGTCATTTACTTCAAAGACTCTCTTCCTTTTGGTTATTTGATGAATTTTCTTATATGAATATCGACTTAAAATCTATAAGTCATTAGAGAACTTAAGCACAAGGCTATATGACTTGCCCACAATTAAGTAGCCCAATTAATTTTGGGTTTTCTATAGTCAAAATCCACAAGTCACTAGAGAACTTAAGCTGTGTCTAGTAAAAGTAATATTGTCATTTTATTGTAGGCTAACAATAATATTTTAAATAGTTCTACTAGTATTACCGATGTAGAGTGCAAAGTTTAAAACAAGGTCCTAATAAAAAACAAAACATAAAAACGAAACCAGCAAATTATTGAACCAATCACAGCAATGATTTTTTTTTTTTTTTTTTAAACATTTATGTTTGCCAAACTTTTCTAGTCTACAGTAGGCGCATAAACATTTACATTTTACACCCATGGAAACGTGAGATTATTCCTTGAACCACATCTTCTATTGTAAATTCCGACCCACCCTTTTCGATTTTTCTGCAAATTAACCGAAATTCTGATTTACACGCCTCCTGATCTTCAACAATCATCATACTTTACCACTTACAAATGAGGAACGCAATGCAAATCATCGAACACTTGGTGTACTTCTTCTAAGTTTCACACAATCAACAACTTCAACAATGGCGGCATCTTTCTCTCTAATCCCTTCATCTTCTCTCAACTTCATTCGAGACCCTTTGCCATCTCCTTCACCCTCCGCGTCATCCTCTTCGTCTTTCTTCGGTGGTGGGACACTCTCGTTCACCCGTAGCAGCAACAACAGGAGTTTCGTCTCTTTCTCGTCGCCTTCGCAATTCAACAGGAAGAAGTACGGCAAGCGCGGTGGAGGATTTTGTGTATTCGCGGCGGCGGATTATTACTCTACGCTTGGAGTTCCCAAGTCTGCCACGGGTAAAGACATTAAAGCCGCTTATCGAAAGTTAGCTCGCCAGGTATTAGGGTTCCCTGTTGTTGTTAGGGCTATTGCTTTCTTGGTATATTGATATGATATTCGCATTGTTTTCATGTGCTCTCTTTGAGCAAATTGAAATCCAAGCTATAGAGATCTTGTTAGGTACTTCTTCGTTGTAATCAAGTGATTGATTCTTAAATTCTTAAATTCTTAAATCTCCATTTAGAGTAAAATTGAACTTTATGTACCACAAAACCAATGGATTTTAGTTTTAGATTGTAAGTCTATATCGAATTTGGTTACAGAAAGCAAAATTTAGTACAAGAGGGAGTGAATTCTTTATCCAAGAGCTGAATAGGAGGGTGTTTGGATGTGCTTTTGAACTAAAGTGACAATTAATTAGCTTTGATTGCAGTAGGTGAGAATTTGTTTACAGAAACCTAAGTTGCAATAACCTGTTTGAAGTGTTTGGAGGAGTGATTATGATTCCAGCTTTCTGATTATTTAGATGTATTTTAATACAATTTTGAAGTAGGTAAGAAGTAAGAAGTAAGAAGTTGCTGATATTGCCTGAAAGATTGATCATGGAAACTTCCTTTACTTTACTTACTTCTGATATAATATATTCTTTTATTTTTTTAGTATCATCCAGATGTCAACAAGCAACCAGGAGCTACCGAAAAGTTTAAAGAGATCAGTGCTGCGTATGAGGTATGTATAGTAGGATAGCTGGAAACCTTTCAGAAACTTATTTATAAATAAAATATTATTTTTATTATTATAATTGCAATAAAAAGCAAGACATTGACACTGTCAGGTTCTATCAGACGACAAGAAACGAGCCATGTATGACCGATACGGTGAAGACGGACTTAAAAGCACAGTTGGGGGAGGACAAGCTGGCGCTTACGCTGTACTAACTACTCTTAACTCATATTCTTTTTGTCCGTTTTTGTTTATTATTTTTATTTACATTTTAATTTTTGTTATAGACAAATCCGTTTGATCTGTTTGAGACATTCTTTGGGACTAGTATGGGTGGTTTTGCTGGTGGCGACACAACCGGATTTGGAGGACGCCGTGCCACTACTGTCATTAAAGGTGAAGATATACGGTGAGTTAGTCATTTAAGTTGACACGTGTCATCATCATACTCACACTAATGCCACTTGGACTTGTATAAGTTTAAAAGAACCTTTTTTTTTTTTTTTTTTGTTCCAGATACGACATGATGTTAGAATTTTCAGCAGCCATTTTTGGAACGGAAAAGGAATTTGAGCTGTCTCATCTTGAAACATGTGACGTGTGCACTGGAACCGGAGCAAAAGTTGGATCAAAGATGAGGATATGCTCCACGTGTGGCGGCAGAGGTCAAGTCATGAGAACCGAACAAACACCTTTTGGTATGTTCTCACAGGTAAAATCACACTTGAAGATCTTGTAATTATTATTCTTAATTGCTTGTTTATAGTTTGGAACTGTATTGTTTTTTTTTTTTTTTGGTTCCATTTTGTAGGTTTCTGTATGTCCAAATTGTAATGGGAAGGGTGAAATGATATCGGAGTATTGCCGGAAATGCTCGGGTGAAGGGAGGATACGTGTGAAGAAAGATATCAAAGTCAAGATTCCACCTGGAGTCAGCAAGGGTAGTATCCTTAGAGTTGCTGGAGAAGGTGATGCTGGTCCAAAAGGGTATATATATTGACTTTTCAGTGGTATAATTATATTTATAAATAATAAGTAAAAGTAGCATTTAGCTGTATTTTGTTTTGATTTGAGCAGGGGTCCTCCTGGAGATCTGTATGTTTACCTTGGTGTTGAAGAAATCCCGGAGATCCAAAGAGATGGGATTAATCTAATGTCATCCATCTCCATTTCGTATCTTGATGCCATACTTGGAACTGTTGCGAAGGTAGTAAATCAGTAATTTGGTGAATTTTGATTCCGATTGATTATTTAAGGAAGTAATAGAGATATATAAAATGACGAAAAAGGACATGTGTAACAGGTGAAGACGGTTGAGGGGATGACTGAACTTCAGATCCCACCTGGTACTCAGCCTGGTGATACTCTTGTTTTGGCAAAGAAAGGTGCTCCTAAACTCAACAGACCTTCCATACGTGGTGATCATTTGTTCACCATTAAAGTCAGTATACCTAGACGTATCAGGTATCTGACTTCAACTCCTCAAATCTTTATCAAATTCGTTTTTATTTTTATTTTTATACAACTAATAATAATAATCACTTTCTAGTGGACAAGAACGTGAGCTTCTTGAAGAACTTGCTTCTCTGAAAAACCCCACCTCCACCCGTCCCCGTTCTCGCTCTCAACAACCTGGTAAATTCTCGTTTCATCTCAACTTTCTCCTTTTTTTTTTTTTTTTTTTTTTGAATTATCAGTTTTGTTTCTGGTTCAGCTAAAGTCACAGAAACTCAAGCGGATCCTGTGGCTGAGGAAAGTGACAGCTCAGCTGATGAAGATGACCCATTGAAGAAGATAACATCCTTTGCCGGGTATTTATTTATTTTTTTGTAGTTATAGTGTAAGATGCATACCAACACTTGTTTGTGTTGCAGGTCTGTTGTAAAAGGAGCTTTGAATTGGTTCAAGGAGAACTTCTAGAAGCAGAGCATGTATTAATTAATTAATTAATACTCTCTTCCATCTAACGTAGTGGCCAAAGATTAAAAGAATATCCTCATCAAATGCTGCTTGCTCAAGAAATCGAAATATACTACGTCAAACAATTCTTCAATTTTTTAGAAATCATATCTCAAAGTTCATCAAATTTCAATATTGGTGGAAACTTGATGATTCATTTCATGTATCTAAAACATTAATAATATTGCTTGTAAGAATTTTGTTCAAACGGCCGATAGTGAGTTTACCAGTGGTAGTAACCCGGTGGTTTTGATATATTTGATTTCAAATTTCGATACTACTTGCACTATTATATTAATATTACAATGAAATGCAAGTGCTTGTTGGTTGGAAGAAGAAAATGTTTTTATTGTTGTTCAACACGACTGGCTATAATTAAAAATCAAAACAGCTACTATAACAGGAGTAGATATCATAATGAGAGCTTGAGTGATGTTTGGCTGAGTGATCTGTGGCACCAAGATGCTGCCGTACTTGATGGCAGCTGCACCTGCCAAGGATCCACCTCCGAGCTTCAACAAGAAGTTTACATCTTCCTGCTCATTAACAAAGCAAGATTAGGAGACGTGGTGGAACTGAAGATATCATTTAAAGTTCAAACCAACAGCAAAAAACCTAAACAGTATAACTTGGTTGATTATATGAGATTTCAAACGCCATTATCATCTGTCATGTATGAATGAAATAGCACATGAAGAAGAGATATCCATCAGAAACAGATTGAAGATCAATTGATCAAACACTAGAAATTGACCGATTATATGAGATTTTGAGCCCCAATCATGTTCCATTATCCTTTATCGTAAATGGATGAACCAAATAGCACATAAAGAGGATAAATCAAACAGTTCTCGTAAATTCAGGCAACTGAAGCCAGAATCTCGAGGTACCAGCTGTTTGTTGAATAACAGTTTTGATGGAGACAGATTAAACAACTTTTTGATTAAATCCTGACCTGAGACGTGAAGGAGAGATCAGGATCATCGGCATTTGAATTTGCTTCTTCATTTGGGGAATTGGAAGCAACAACGATACAGCACCTACCACCAGAATAAGGCGACGACGCCGTCGTTACCCGAGGCTCGAAGCCGAAGGACTGTCTCCTGATATGTAGTATTGCATTCTTCACACCATTCGCTCGCTGATGCCCTACAGATATCGCCAACGACTGTTTCCGGGGAGATTGAATTGCTGCCGCCACCGCTGCCGCCATGTCGAGAGAGACGTTTATCCTTTTGCCGCGACCTGTTATGTTATCTGGTATTTGATTGGCGCACAACACGAAAAAACAAAAACAAAATACATCAAATTCAAATTGAAATTTATTTTTAAAACAAATATAAAGTGATTTTAGTTATCCTTTTTTACAGTATTTGTTTATAATTTTCTTTTATTTATTATTATTATTATTATTATTATTATTATTATTATTATAATTCGTATACGACATAATAGTCATTTTGAATGATAAGTTTTAGTTCTTCAATAAAATAAAATAAAATATGACCCAAAATTTTTATAATCCTTACAAGAGTAGGAACATATTATTTGCTCATAGTCTTTTACACTAGTATATTATATGCACTTATACTTAGAGCACCGTAACTTGTTATCTTAAAACGATGTACATATCTATTCTAAAAACAGACACTTTACTTTCTCGTTTTTCCATTTGCAAATCAATGGATCAACTAAAGCAAATTCACCTCCAAACCATCGTAACAGGTGTTAGCCTAGACCCTCTTGTATGTTCCATGATTATCATCTTTTGTTGCAACCATCATTTGGGCGATATCAATTACGCACGCCAAGTGTTCGACAAAACTCCCCAACCAAAAGTTTTCCTTTGGAATACCATGATCAAGGGATACTCTCGCACTACCCAAACCCAACATGCCATCTCCATGTATATACAGATGTTAAGAACGAACGTGAAGCCCGATGATTACACATTTCCATTTCTGCTAAAAGGATTTACACCATCCATCAGTTCAAAAATCGGAAAGGCAATACATAGTCATGTATATAAATTGAGGTTTGATTCTAATCCAGCTGTCCAAACATCGCTAATACACATGTACTCTTTATATGGAAACATGGATGACACTAGACGGGTTTTTGACACAAGTTTAAAAAACGATCCCATAGCTTGGAATATCATGATCACTAGCTACAACAGAAGCAAACTATTCAACGAATCAAAAAATCTTTTTGACAAAATGGAGAAAACACAAGTCAAACCCACTCTCATCACTCTCGTTTCAATCCTATCAGCTTGCTCAAAACTAAAAGACATTAATGGAACCAAACACATTCATCAATACATCAAGAACAACAAAATCGATCCAAATGTGAAATTAAATAACACATTACTCGATGCGTATGCCACCTGTCACGAAATGGACACCGCACTTGAAGTTTTCACAAACATGAAAACAAGAGATGTGATTTCATGGACAGTGATTTTATCGGGGTTTCTCAACATCGGGAAATTCGATTTCGCTCGCGATTTTTTCGATCGGATCCCAGTAAAAGATTCGATTTCATGGACTACAATGATTAACGGGTATGTAAGTCAAAACAGGTTCAAGGAAAGTTTAATGCTTTTCAAGAAAATGCAAGATGAAAAAATCGAACCCGATGAGTTCACCATGGTTAGTGCTCTCACAGCGTGTGCGAACATGGGTGCACTCGAGTTAGGTGAGTGGGTGAAGGTTTGCATCGACAAGAACCACAATCTTAAAATAAAAAACGATGTTTTTGTGGGGAATGCACTTATAGACATGTACTTTAAGTGTGCAGAAGTTGGTAAAGCAGTGGATGTTTTCAAAAAAATGGTGAAGGAAGACAAGTTTACTTGGACTAATATGATTGTTGGATATGGTATGAATGGATTTGGAAATGAAGCGATAAACATGTTTAATGCGATGATGAAAGAATCGATAAAACCAGATGGGGTTTGTTACCTTGGTGTTCTTTGTGCTTGTATGCATAGTGGTAAGGTAGATGAAGGGAGAAAGTTGTTTGATGACATGAGAATTCACCATGGAATTGAGCCAGAGGTGGAGCATTACGGGTGTATGGTTGATCTTTTGGGTAGATCTGGGCTTTTGAGTGAAGCTTATGAGTTTATAAACGCAATGCCAATTAGACCGAATTCGGTAGTTTGGCGTGCACTTCTTGGAGCTTGTGGGATTTATAAAGATGTGGATTTGGGTGAAATAGTTGCTAGAAAACTTGTTGAATTAGAGCCGGATAATGGTGCAGGGTATGTATTGTTGTGTAATATATATGGAGCTTGTAATAGGTGGGAAGATTTACGTGAAGTAAGAAATCTAATGATGAATAAAAGGGTCACGAAAACCCCGGGTTGTAGTTGTATAGAGGTTTATGGAAGCATTCATGAATTTGTAGTATGTGATAGATCTCATTTTCGATGTGATGAGATATACTCGATGTTGGAGAGGATAACACAAGATTTGAAAGTTTCTGGGTATACACCGAAGAGTAATGGGAAGTTTCTTGATTTCGGAGAGTGGGGGTAACAAATGTTGTAACTAAAATTAAGCCTCACATCTCCCACGTTAAGCTTTAGATGATCAAACTGTTCAACTTTATTACCAAAACTAAATGCTGTTAAAATATTGAAAAATATATATCGTTTAAAATTGTTATATTATTGGTATTAAATTTATCCTAAATTTTTTTTACAGTAAGTTCATATATAAAAATCTCATTTATTATAATTAATAAGTTAAAGAAGACTTTTGAAGAACCACTTATTATTATTAAAATGTTATAAATATATTAAAATATAGATTTATTTATATATTTATTTTTGAATTTATATAGGTTAATGAAGCAATTAAAATCATTACTAAATAAAATTTGAAAAGTTGTAGTGGTTTTTAATAAATCATGTATTTAATAATTATAAATTATTTAGAGCTTATAAATCCTTGACTCATTTTAATGTTTCTATGCATATATAATTGTATAGGTTACTTTTTCATTTTTTTCTTTTTAAGTTGTAATAATAATAATAAAAAGATAATCTAATATAACCTCCCTAATAAATCAAAATCTTTTTGCCGCATATCATTTTCTCATTAATTTGAACACATGATATTTTCTAAAATCTTTGAATTTTTTATTTTCCACTTATTATTTTATTGCATTTTTCATTTTATTAAATTAAATTTCACATTTAATATGTACGGTAATATATATATATATATATATATATATATATATATATATATATATATATATATATATATATATATATATATATATATATATGTATTAGAAATGTTTTATATATATAATGTACTAGGTGTAACACCCGTATGTTATACGAGTTTGATAAAACAAAAAATTATATATGAAAGTTTAAATAAAATTTTATTTAAATTTGAAATTTTAGATTTGAAATTTAAAATTTAAAATTTGAATTTAAAAGGAAACATATTAAATACTATATGAATACTAATATTGTAACTTATTGGTTATTTTCAATTAAGAAAACTATTAATTAAAATGTAAATATGATGTGTTAATTAAGAAAATATAAAAAAAATGAGAAAATGACAAATGGAAAAAAGAATTATTAAAAAATACCAAAAAATGATATTTGTCCAAGTTAATGAGAGAGTGACATGTGTCAAAATTATTTTCATTTATCAGAGAGGATTCAATGTATTAAAGCTTAATTAATTTTAATAATTTAAATTTTTTTCATTTTTGTTATAAATTCAAACTTTTCAAATTGTTAAAATTTCATTTTTATTTTAAAAAAAAAAAGAACTCATGTAATACTTGGATGTCACACCTAATTTTAAATAAATAAGTTAAAAATACACTGTTCCAAATTGATTTTTTTTTTTTTGCTAGCAAAATAAACTTTATCTCAATTTCCAACAATGTTTAGTTAACATGATAGTTAATTTGTTTAATTTACCATTTTTAAAATCTAGAACAATATAAAAATATACATATGAGTATAAAATCTATTGAACTACTTATTAATTAATAATTACAAATCATAGAATAAGTATGAAGTAACTTAACAGTTTATATTAATTTAGAGTAGTTAAAAACAATTAAATTAATATGATAAAAATATATGATTTATCTTTAACCAAATTAGTTTGGACTCCAATTATTTACAGGTTGTAAATATATGGATATACTTTTGAGTAAATTACACGAATGGTCCCTATGCTTTGGAGTAATTTGCACGCTTGGTCCCTAATTTATTTTTTTAACTCGTAAGATCCCTATTGTTTGTTTTTGTTACGCGGTTGATCCCTACTGTTTGTTTTTGTTATACGTTTGGTCCCTATCTTACATAAAAATATTATTATTTAAATAAGAAAAAATGATAGGGTATCTAAGGTAAGGTTAGGGTGTGTTTATTTAAATAAATTTTAAAAAATCAATGGAAAAATAGTCTTTTTAGGTAAGACAGGACCAAACGCGTAACAAAAACAAACATTACGACCTTCCGAGTTAAAAAAATAAGTTAGGAACCAAATACGCAAATTACCCTAAACCATAGGGACCATTGGTGTAATTTACTCTATACTTTTTGATATTTTATATCTACATTTAACTTGTCCATTTACTAATTGTTTTCATTCTTATTTTTTAACTTGTAATGAAAAACATGATATAACATATCTTTGAATAAAGAAGTGGAAAATTTAATATCTAAATTTCAGTTTTTTGGTAGTAAACATGTTTTATCTTGATTTCCAATAAATTTGATTAATATGACATTTACTATAATATTTTTTAATTTTATAACAACATAAAGTTGTTTTAATTATATGACAATAATAAAAATTATTAATTATAGTATTAGTTAGAAATAGAAAAATAATGATAGTTTTAAGTTAGTCGTATACTAAGTAATTGAAAAGTTTTATATTAATTTAACATAATTAGAAAAAAAAAAACTAAAACTCAAATTAATATTATAAAAGAAAAATGATTTATCTTAAACTATATATATATATATATATATATATAATATATAATATATATATATATATATATATATATATATATATTATATATATATATATATTTATTATATATATATTGGAAATGAGAGTAACATCTAAAAAATCACGATAAATTTTTTTATTTTTCAATTAATGTAAAATCATTGTTTCAAATCAAAACCCAAGTAAATAACCAAGTATCAAATACACGTATCCTAAAATCAAAGTGTCACAAAATCTCCAAAACATATCACCGAAGAATGTGTATGATCATGTATTCGTCTTTCCCCGATCATCAGTAGTACCTAAAACATAACACTTAAACTGTAAGTCAAAGCTTAGTGAGTACCCCCCCCCCCCCCACACACACACACAAAATACTCCACATAACAGAACATATGCAAACATGCATGCTGGATCCACAACCATCAGACTAGATTACCCTCGGGTCCATAACATTAAAGCCTCAACCTATATTGCACTATGTTGATATATGAAACAAATAAATCATATAACAACACATATTTCACACAGATTCACATATCACTACAACATAACAACATCCTACATACTAGGATAGATAACCTCGTGGGTAGACATTGGTGTCTTCGGCCTACAAGTAAAGTGAGGAAAACTTACCTTACAGTCTAAAATGTAACTGAACAGATTGCTGCTCCAAATACTAACTCTACAGGTCACCTATACAACACACATGGACCTAATCTCAAACTACTGCTCAAATTACCCAAAATGCCCCTAAGTCAAACTTGGTCAAAGTCAAGGTCAAAAAGTCAAAGGTCTCACCTAAGCTGAGTACGCCTTGTGTACTCCCCTCTATGCCCAACGTTGAGTGTGCATTCTAGACTACAGACTGCAAAAAAGGTACGCTGCGTGTACCTCCAGGTATGTTGGGCGTACCAATACTGAATCTACATCTCATCATTAAGTCCTTATTGCGGTAAGCCAAAGCACCAAACTTCTGATCTAGGTAAAAAGGGACATCTCAATGGATAAAGTCTCTGAATTTATCCATTTGCATGCATACAAGAGGGTATAAACTCAAATCCTTAGTCCAAAAGTCATCCAAGGATCCAAAACTTTTTCATGGTTTAATTAGAGTGTCCAAGCTCTCACTTTTATGAATTCATGAGCTCAAAACTATAGAAAACTACATTTCAAGGACCTGGAGTAGCTCATACTCCATTAGACCAAAACTATGGGACCAAAAAGGTACACAAACTCTAGATTAGCAAGATCTAAGCAAATAACTCATCAAGTTCCAAGCTTTATACCTTCTAGAGGTTGCTTGCAAGGTGAAAATTCTAGATCTACAATTTCTTGAAGCTTCCAAGATGATCCCACCACCTTCTTCTTTCTTTAAGGACACAAAGACACTCTCAAACTCTAAAAAGGCTCACATAATGGATTAGGGTTAGCAAGGGATGATTTGGGAGATGGTGGCTGATGAAGGAAAGGGTTTTGAGGGGATACTGATGTTTAAATAGGGCTCAAACCCTAAAAATTAGGGCTTGCTCCCTTGCCACGTATGCCTAGCGTACTTACATAAACACACATTCCTTTTGAACAAGCTACGTCATGCGTACGCCCCAAGTACGCATGACGTAATGACCAATATTGCAACTAATTTACATTTTGGGTTGGAAATGAAAGTTTACTTGATATTTGGGCGTTACAATTCTCCCCCCACTTGAACTAGACTTTGTCCTCGAAGTCCGTTGCTGTGAATAACTCGGGGTAGTGTTCTCGCATCTCTGCCTCAGGTTCCCAAGTTCATTCGACACCCCTCGAATGCTGCCACTGAACCCTGACCAATAGAACCACTTTGTTGCACAATCCCTTCATCTTCATATCCAAAATTGCAACCGACCTCTCAACATAGTTCAGAAGATCATTAACCTGAATATCATCCAAAGGAACCACTACTGAATCATCAACTACACACTTCTATAGTTGAGAAACATGGAAAGTGATGTGAATATGTTTGATCTCCTTAGGCAGGTACAATCGATAGGCCACCCTGCCTATCCTGAAAACTACTCGATACGACCCGATGAATCGAGGACCAATTTTGCCCCTCTTCCTGAAGCGTATTACACCCTTCCAGGGTGATACCTTCAGTAAAACCATATCGCCGACCTGGAACTCCAACTCAGATCGATATCTGTCAGCATATCTCTTCTGCCGACTCTGAGTTGTATGTAACCTCTGCCTGATTTGCTGACTAAGTTATGTCGTCTGAAGGAACACCTTGAACTTTCTGATAACCCTGTGACCGACCTCTCCCCAACAGAATGGGGTACGACATATCTGATGGGTTTTATGCATAAGAACAATCCTATGTGCTCATACAAAACCTAATGCTTGGATCTAGGTTTCTCTATTGTACATGCATTGAATCCAAGACTTGCAAACCCTAATCTAGCATACATAGTTTGAAAATTAACTTAATACATTAGATCTAGATATTTACCTCTTCAAAAGGTGGCTTAGATCTTTTTCTCTTCTTCTCTTGAGCT